TGGATTCAGCTAAAGGAAGAACAAGATACTTTCGAATCCCGATTCTATGCCAGTGATAAGAAGGTTCTTGAACTCACCAAGCAACTTTATGAAGAGCGGAGTCTGAACGCCTGCGTCGCACCAAAGAGGATGCATTCAACCTTTTTGTCTTAGGAATTTTTATTTCTGTATTTTATTTTCTCCATTGTAAGCCCCAAGAGGCACGATGTACTCAAACTTGGACTTATTAATATAACGTGTGTTTCCTTTTGTCTAAAACAAATTTAAATCTCTAATTTCCTTGAAATCATTTGCATATGCATTATTAATTCATCATAACACAAACAGGTTTCTTACAACAGGTCTCCTTATCTTTTTACTATTTATTTCAGTGAGATGGATATAAAACAGACAGTAAAAGATCTTCAGGCGCAGAACGCTCAGTTTCAACAAATGTTCTTGACCCTGGCAAAAGGACAAGAGGATTTGAAAACTCTACTGATCAAAGAAAAGAAGAAGAAAGCGAAGAAGCCGACCGATGTTTTGAATTTGGGAAGAAGGTTCAAAGGACTAGCCAGACGAACTCTATATTTCACAACATCATCGGGTGAAGGGGATAATCAAGAAGGAAAAAACAAGGAAGTGAATGACCATCCAGAGTCCGAAGAAGAAGAAGAGGTTGATTATTCTGAAGAGCAGTATCCTCCAGCTGACGATAAATACAAACAGTTAGAAGATCGCCTCAATGCTATGTAAATCCAAAGGGTACCCGAATTGGATTTTAAAGAGCTAGGACTTGTCTCAGGGGTTGTCATCCCGCAGAAATTCAAGGTCCCCACTTCCGCTAAATATGATGAAGTCTCTTGTCCAAAGCTGCATTTAAGATCATACATCAGGAAAAGTCAACCTCATACTGCAGATAGGAACCTATGGGTGCATTTCTTCCAAGAAAGCTTGTCAGGGACGCAGTTGGATTGGTTCTATCAGTTGGAAGGGACCAATATTCACAATTGGGAATATTTGGCTGCCGCGTTTTACAAGCAATACTAGTATAATGTTGACTTAGCTCCAACTCGGACACAGTTGCAAGGCATGTCAATGGGTACAGGTGAAGGTTTCAAAACCTATGCTAAAAAATGGCGGGATCTCACGGGAAGAGTCCACCCCCCTCTATCTGCTAGAGATTTGGTGGATATGTTCTTAGGCACGCTATCTGGTCCATTCTTCAACCACCTGATCGGAAGCTCCTCGAATGATTTACTGAATTAATCATGACTGATGAATGGGTAGAAGCGGGTATAAAAAGTGGCAAAATTCAAAGAGATGCATCCCCGAGCACGATGAAGAAAGCCTTTACCGGAAAGAAAGAGGTTAGTGTTGCATACGACCATATGAATTAAAAGAAAACTGAACATCGCCCGATGGTAGGGGCTGTTATGATTTCTAATCCTATACCAAATCAATAGGGAAATTATCAATGTAGGCCAGAGGCGCCCATGAGACGATTCACATGAATCAACATGACCTTGTCCCAAGTTCTGTCACATCTTTTGAAGTATAATCTGGTGACCCTAAAGGAAGCTCCCAAAAACCTTAATACAGCTTCTACTCGCTACAACCCGAATGCTCGATGTGCCTATCATTCTGAAAGCCCGGGGCATGATACAAACGATTGTTGGGCCTTGAAGAATAAGATACAAGATCTTATCGAGGCTAAAGAGATAGAGTTTGATCCCCCAAAAAGACCTAATGTGATAACGGAGCCAATGCTCAAACACGGTCAAGGTGTCAATGCTGTTGATGATGAATGTCAGGGCCATGAGACTTGGCTATCATGTCATCAACATAAAGATTATGGGAATATCACGATTTTTTATCCTATATTTTTTCAAATAAGTACTTTAATAAGGAACAAATTTTTATATTTTATTTGTTAATTAGATAGATATTAGTAGTGTGTTTTAAATCTATCTATTATCTATTATCTCTCCATTGAGATTAATTTATTTTAAGATGATTATAAGAGAGAAGCACAAATAACACCAGTTCTGCTACACGGTGCGAAAAACACAAATTTTTGTGTTATTAATTAATAACACAATGTTGTTTTCTCATTTTAAATTAATATTGTGTTTTGTATTATTAAATGTTGTTTACTTTTTTTTATTTGCTTAATGTATTTTTCGAAATATTTTTTTTAGGTTAAAATTTCGAAAAATTTTATTTTTTGGAAAAAATGAAAAAAAATATATTCAGGATTTTTGTTTACCTTTTTTCGGAAAACAAATTTTCCAGAATTTTTTTTTAAATTTTGGCTAATTTTTTTTTTAAAATTTGTTCCATATATATTATGGAAGACCAAATATGACAATTATGATTTGTCATGAATCAATTATATATATTTTAATTATAAGAGAACGTACCTTACCTGTATATTTAATAAAAATATAAAACATATAATTTAGAGTTGATATTTAGATATTAATTTAATGATTTAAATTTTTGTTGTTAAAATAAAAATTGATAAATATCTTCACACAAATATTTAAAAAAGTTAAATTATTTTAAAATTTATAATAAATTTTATTGTAAAGGCTATTCTTAAATATATATTAATAAATTTATATTTATCTAAATGTGAGTTTAAAAGTTTTTATTTTTATGACATATTTAATCAATTCTATTTATTTATTATCATTAAAAATACTAACTAACGGGAAAATACTAAGTTATAAATATTTTTATTAATGGAAATATATTACAAATATTTTTATAAACGAGAAAAAGTCTAATGTTGATACAATGGATTTTGTAAACGAAAAAAGTTTCAAACATTTTAATTAGGGTAAAAAACTATTATTGATACAATTGATTTTATAAACGGAAATAAGTTATAAATATTTTTTAGGAAAAAACTTAGGTACATTTCCTTAAGTGTGATTTATGTTTTTTTTCCTAATGAAAATATGACAAATGTATAATTTCCTCTTTCACATATGCAATTTCTTCTTATTTTTACTTCTTAAAAGATATTTAAGTATATTTGTCATATTTTTATTGGAGAAAAGTATGAACCACACCTATGAAATTGTATCTAAGTATTCTCCTATTTTTTATAAATTGAAAATAATCTATTGTTGATACAATTATATTTATAAATATGAATAAGTTACAAATATTTTTATAAACTGAAAAAAATAAATTGGTGATACAATTGATTTTATAAACAAGAATAAGTTACAAATATTTTTATAATCAGGATAAAGTCTAATGTTGATACAATTAATTTTATAAACGAGAATAAGTTAAAAATGTTTTTATAAACGAGAAAAAGTCTATTGTTGATACAATTATTTTTATAAACGGGAATAAATTGCAAATATTTTTATAAACGTACACACGAGTTCTAAACGCTTATATTGTATCAAAAAAGTGTATTATTTTATAAATATTTAAAAATACAACTTGGATCAATATATAAAGATTGATACATATTGTTAATTTATATATGAGATTATGTGAATGTTTATAATCGGTAAAACAAATTTCAAAACTAACAAATGAGATATCACAGCGTGTAATACGAATTTAGACGGAATCCGTGCGATATTGTTTATAATTGAAGTTAGAGAATCAGTTGTACGGTTTATTGTAAATACAAATCAATATTTAAAAGTTAGTGCACATTATTAGCTTATATTTGTAACTATGTGAATGTTAATCAATTGAAGAATAAATTCATACTTTATAAATGATAGTCTCATAGACATGTAATATAATTTCAGACGGAACCCATACAATAACACAAGTTTCCTACTAGTTTCAATGAATGAGATACGTTCATTGACATTAAGTGTAGGTCTAATAGATTTACATCATATCTCAACGGTTAATAGCACTCGATCAAACAATTATATAAATAGTCTATTTTTTAGAAAAAATAATAGACTTTTATTTTATTTAATATAATTATTTGATCAATTCTTACATCTAGTGTCAATGAATCCTGACTCTTATTTTATATATATATATATATAATTTTAAGGAGTTCATGTGTTTCTTTCTCCATGCATCAGAGTAACATTTATAAACTTGGTCTACATATGTTTTTCTTTTAAATTTTAAATCTTAGATTTTACTTTTATTAATTTAAGTATGCGTGAATTAAAAAACTCTTACTATTTTATGTGTGATAATAATGAATAATTATTCGTTAACCGAATGTTTGAATTCGGAATAAACAGTAATTACACGAAGTGTTACGTGGCAACAGGCTCTTGCATGGAAATGGAAATGAAACAGAGAAAAAATCAAAAAGAGAAAATTCCTTTCCACCCACAATCCCAATCTTCAATCCTTCTTTCACTTTTTTCTTTTTCTGGCAGATGTCAACCGCATATTTGAATCCATTTCTCATTGTTCTTACCTGCTACGCCTACGACTATTCATTCTTCGCATTCCATGTTTTTGAATTACTACTTTCAACACTTTACAATCGATTAAACTTTACCAAATACAATTATTGTGACTCAAATGGAATCACTTCCATCCAAAAACCCCTACATCATCATAGGTACGACGCATTCTCACTCACTTTACTACATACTCAAACTCAATTATCTTATTAAATGTTTTTGAATTTTTTATGTTATTGTTCTGAGATTAATTGTTCTCTTATGGCCACAGTTTTATTTCCTGGATTACTTTAGATTGTATGTGTCATTTCTTGATTTGTAATTTGTTTGGAACTTGGAAACTTGTTATGTCATGCAAGGACAGGCAACACGACACTGATACGTGGATATCGATAATAATTTGAAAAAAAATAATATATTAAACATAATCTGAAGTGTACGATGGTTCCACACACGACACAAACACCCTGTGCCGGTGTTATAGAGGTTATTATGGACTTAAATCTTACTACAAATCATACTAATGTGTATTTTGCAGTAATTATTCTATACCTATACCATTGGTGATGTGGTTCTGATTGTGAAGCCTGAAAGTTCAATATCATAATGATTCCGGTTGATAATGGTATTAGAAGCCCCCAAAGTGAAATTGAAGAATCTAATGGGAGGCAAGTGAAGGAGTTTGCTTCTGTAGATATTTCAAACTCTACAGACACATTACCAAGCAATGAAAATCCTCACACAAAGTTAAAGCACCTTGCTAATGAGAAAGACCTTATTTCACGGTCTGTGCCTTCTCCATATTCCAATGGTCTAAAATCGCGTTTCCATAGGATGTTTGCTCAGAAACTTGAATGGAATTCAGTCAAGAAAATGTGCGTGGAATAGATCAAAAACCCGATGAACATGGCCCTTTTCGCATGGATAGTTTGCGTAGCTGTTTCGAGTGCGATTCTGTTCTTTGTCATGACAGGAATGTTGAATAATGTGCTCAAAACTAAGTCGGAGAGGAATACATGGTTTGAGATAAATAACCAAGTACTAAATGCACTCTTTACACTTATGTGTTTGTATCAACACCCAAAGAGGTTCCACCATCTTGTTCTTTTGTGTAGATGGAGAACAAATGACATTTCTACACTTAGAATGATTTACTGCAAAAATGGTACTTCTAAGCCACATGAATGGAGACATATGATGGTAGTGGTTATTCTCCTTCATGTTAACTGTTTTGCTCAATATGCACTCTGTGGTCTAAATTTAGGATACACAAGGTCTCAGCGACCGACAGTTGGAGTTGGAATTACTATATTAGTTGCAATTGCGACACCGACAATAGCTGGATTCTACATTATTCTTAGTCCACTTGGGAAGGATTATGATTGTGAGAAGGATGAAGAATCACAAGATCAAATTACGAAACCGTTTGAGAAAAAGTATGCATTTGCATCTAAAGATCAACAGGGAGAAGTAATAGAATTAGAAAATAGACCGAATTGGAGTGGAGGAATACTTGAGATATGGCATGATATATCTGTATCATTTCTCTCACTTTTCTGCATTTTTTCTGTGTTCGGTTGGAACTTGGAGAGACTTGGATTTGGGAACATGTATGTTCATATAGCTACTTTTATGCTGTTATGTATGGCTCCTTTTTGGGTATTTGTATTGGCTTCTGGTAACATTGATGATGATAATGTTAGAATGGCTTTAATAGCTATTGGAATCATCCTTTGTTTTTGTGGTTTACTTTATGGTGGCTTTTGGAGGATACAAATGAGAAAGAGGTTCAATTTTCCTGCATACGATTTCTGTTTTGGAAACCATCGGTTTCTGATTGTACACTTTGGTTATGCTGTTGTTGGTGTTCTCTTGCTCAAGAAACGAGGACTGGGAATAATTATGATATCTTGGAAGACAAGTTATGTTTGAAAGAAATTGATACTTGTGATCAAGTTTCAACTTCGAATTTGGATAGAGAAGATGTAGTAGTATCAACCAAATCTGACACAAGTTTTACTCTTGAAAGCGGTAAAGATGTAACAATGACTCCACCATCTCCATCGTTAATACAAAAAGAATATCATTAGTTAATCTATGATAGTAAAAGAGGGAAATGATTCTTCTTTATTGTTTTGTATAACATCATTGTTTTGTTTGAGATGATCCCTTAAGTTTTTGTGCTGTAAACTCTAGTCTAGAGTCAAAATCTCATGACATTGCCACTACCTCCTCCAATTTTACATTTCAATATTTTTTTTGAAGTTATAAGATGCATTATGAGATTTGAGGTTTGAAAAACACTAAATTTCACTATGAAACCAATACTTTGAGTGTCTTTTCCAAAGGATAGTAACTCTAAAATGTCTGTTTTCACTTAACATATCTTTAATGTTTTGAATCAACTCAGCATGCTTATCATACTTATTTGTGTAAGTATCAATGGGTCTAATACAATGGAATGAATCCGTGTAGCGAATTGATACATGAAAACCCATTTCTTTGGCAAGCTAGAGACTACATTAGATGACCTAACTCTGCCTAGAGGATATCTGAAGACTTGGTATGGAGTTAGGAAAACCACTCTATCAAGTCCCAAAGGAGTTGCGAGTGATTCTGCCTAAACTAATACGTGTAGGTGTTCCAAGATAACTTCCATAAATATTAATGATAATACAAGAAAAATTGAAGGAGTTTTACTGATGAGACATTCTTCCGCAAGTCAGCGTTGGGAGTTGCTGAAGAAAGTGTGGAATTGGGGAATGAGTCCATCATAGAGCGGACAGCCAAATAAAGGAGATACACGGGGATTGTTTCTTGTGAGATGCATATTGGGTAATGCAAAAAAATTGCAATGAAGATTCAAAATTTAGCTAAAGGTTTATGGAATCTCTAAAATTTCGAAGACAATCAAGGAAAGACTCCTCTTCCAAACGTCATCGTGAGCATAAAGCCAAGGGAATCATGTTACGATGGTAAAACAAGGATATAATAGGTATAAAGTTGTGACAAGCAACACAAAACAATTTTTTTTACACGAGAAAAATTCAAAATCTTAGACCAATAATGAGGGGTATATTGTGAATTTTGTTTATAGACAAAATTCTGTGCCTCGCGTTGGACACACAGTTTTTTCGTCCAATGTGTCAACCCTGTTCTAACACCATGACCAATCAGCTTTTCTTCTTCAACAAGCAATGCTTGTATGTCTTCCACATGTTCTGGCCGTCTTTGTTCGCTCAACGCATCATCCGTTCGACTAACGTGTTAACCTTTGCTTCACCATGAATTACTTGCACCAAGTGTTTCCACCCAACCCTAGAATATGCCTAGTGTGCTTGTAAATAGGACCCAACGAGCCTTGATTTTTTAGGGTTTTAGTTTTCTCTATTTTCTTCGTTCTGATTCGTGTTTTTCCAGTTCTTTTCACTTGTTTTTGATAAAAACAAACAAGAAAAGTACAAACCGGTATTTCTTTACTTTTCATAGATAAATCGAGGGTTTTTGTTATAATTACTTATAAAATAACCAGATAAGTGCTGACATATTTAACACAAATTTGGTACTTATCAGTAGTCAGTTATAGACAAGTTCAATCAAGATGCGACAAAGAAGATAGTTTGGATTAGAAAATTTATTTTATCATTTCATTCTATTATTTTAACACAAACTTGAATCAAAATATCATAATGGAAGAATCAAATTTTCGATGGTTTACTATCGAAGACTCAAAGACTGGATTAAGAGCATGTGATGACAATAGCACTGAACTAGTATAAATTCTGGTGCAATCTCTCTCTCTCTCTCACACACACACTCTCTCTCTCTCTCTCTCTCTCTCTCTCTCTCTCTCTCTCTCTCTCTCTCTCTCCCTACACTCTCTCTCACCCCCTTTTAGATTTCTTGCTTAATTGTGTTAGCTGTTAGATTTATTCAACCCCCTTCTTGACAATTATCCCTATTCAAACCAATAATTGTCATTAAGATCTTGTTCTTTTGATAAGGTTTAACAACCCCAAAAGTTATTTAATATGCTGAAAATTAATCCTAAGGGAGCATACATAGAGCTCAAAGTTTCATTGGTGAAAACTATGCATGTTGGAATGATTGCATGTACATACACCTTATATAAGTGGATTTACAATTATGGCTAGCCATCGAAGAATGGCCATTTATTCCTCAAAAGATTGTTTATGACGTATCCGTTAATAAACCACCACAGGAATGAAACGAAGGTGAGATTAGAAAGTCATCTTATGATTTGAAAGCGAGAAATATACTCATATCTTAATTGAGTGTGGATGTATATTTTTCAATATCAAATTGTAAGATAACTAAGGTAATGTGGGACACTCTTCAAGTTCTCCATGAGGTAACTAAAGACTTCAATAAATCTAAGATAAAAACTTTGACAAAAGAATATGAACTTCTTTGCATGGAACCCAGTGAAAATGTGGCCTCCAAGCATATGGGGTTTTCACATATAATCAAAAAACTAGATGATTTAGGCAAAACCACATCTAATCAATCTTATGCTAACATGATTTTTAGATCTATGTGAGACAACTAGGAAAATGAACAATGAAGTCGCTATCGAATATTATTTATCTTAAATAACGGAAAGGAAAACATCGAGTAAACTTGAGAGAAAACAAGGTCTTGCGATCAAGAGAAGGGTACGGGAGTCGATTACGCAAGAGGAAGGTATTAACACCCCTCACGTCCACGGTACTCCACGGGACCCTCTCTTGTTGTTATAATCAAATGGTGTGTCTATCTAAACCTACAAGCTAAAGAAATGCGTGAATGAAAAAGAAAAATATAGGGAAAACAAAGGTCTTAAATAGTTATGCTCGCTTAGACTCTGCAACCTAATGCCTACGTATCCTTTTTTAGGAATCAGAGCATCGTAGTTTGAATCAAATTTTTTTGTTTGTTTGTATTTTTTAATGAACGATGCTAATTTTGCATTCTACTGCAGCTCGACCTTTGGAGACTCACGCGTTGTCATAGAAAGAAATTAACATGTTCTTACCTGAAAAGGTTTTCTTAAAAGAAAGGCCCGAAGGCAGCCCGAAGGCAAAATATTTGAATTGGTTTAGTCTTTTTTACCTTGAGAAAGTATTTGGTGATTTGAACCACATTAAAAACTATGATCGAAAGGAAGCACAAGGTTAGGAATGCAGCCCCTCATACTTATCCCAATGCTTAAGGCTCGTGCCACATGTTTCACATCATTATTGTTATGTGTTTTCAACATTTGATTAAGAAAAAGAGATTTAGTTTTAAGGATGCAAAAAGGGGAATTAAAAATATAAGGGAGATTCTATTTCTAATGTTATCATACAACGGTGGTCATAAAGTTTGGATTAACAAAAGGGAAAATCTACCTAATGTTAGCATGAATGGTTTAAAGCCTAATGTCTACCTTGATTCAAAGATGAACCAAATGAACCTAAGGGAACATACAAAGACAAAATAAGAATATAAACAACAAAAGGAAATGACTCACAAGCCTACCAAACACCTAAGTGTATCACATAACACACAAGCAATAATCAAACAAGCCTAAGCCCTAATGAATACTTTGAGTCATCAATCAAGTAGCATGAATGTGTCACACACAAAAAACTAATGTTACTCTAAGGGACATGCATAAGTGGTTATACCCTAAGATATTACAAACCAATTCAAAAGTGATCAACAAATTTCACTAGCACTAAAGGCTTAGAATATAAGGATAACACCAATGCTTAATGTACAAAGATGATAGGACTTAGGAAGGGGGAGGCTTAACCAAGGCAGAAAGTATACATCCTAAATATCACATAAACATCTCCCAAATATGGAGGAAGAATTGCAAAGGAATCATGCAAGTGAAGGCTAATGAAACTATACAAATGTCAAACTAGTTCCTAAGAACTATACCACTAAAGTTATAGCCTGCTCACTTATGGCAACAAGGAAAATCTACATTTAAGAAAGAATTAAGTTAGAAGACATTCCTTAGAATTTCAAAGAATCACACGGTATCACATGCCAACAAAGTTCAAACAATTGGTCAATTCAAGTGATGAAGGAGAAACATGCTTTCAAACTTTTACAAAGTAATCAAAACTTGGGAGACAAGTAAATTTCATGTTAAACAAGGTGGAGTATATTACAAGGCAGTAGCTAACCTATAGTCATTGATATTAAACAAAATTTACAAGAAAGATCATGATTATAGCAAACTATGTGCCAAAATTAGCGCAAAATTAGTCAATTGACAATTAAAGGTCAAACATCATGATACACTAAGCATATGACTCAATTATGGGCTCAACATCAAGATAAAAGATACCTAAACATGGTAACATGTTTAAGAAGAAGTCAATTAAACATCAAACCAACAATTAGGCATGACACACCAAAGATCAACTCCAAACTAGGCAAGTAGACAATTATTCATTATTGTGTGACTACAAAAGAGAAATTTAAACAAAGGTCTAAAGAGACCTCAAAAATCATGGAATTACATCACAAGACATGTTATTATGTACATTATCATGTCAAAAAAAAATCCTAGGCTATTGCATAAATGCAAGCTTAAAGATCAAACAATTACACAAGCATGTATTTCTAATTAAACATGCATCGTGGCTCCTAAAATTAATTGAAAAATGATTCAATTCACAAAAAAAAATACCAAATCAATATATAAACCATTGACAAATAAATCTTTAACCATGACAAAAATATTAGTTCAAAATAATGATAAACAATCATCAAACACAAGCCTTAATTAAATGATATGTCAAATAGGATACCTTTACCAAAAGGATTTAAAAGAAAATAGAAATAAAATTGGAAAAAATCATCTAAAAATACCTAAGGCATGAAAGAATCACAATCATATTTTTTCAGTTTTTAATTTGTCAAGAACCGATAAAAAATTGCACCAAAACATGGAAGGTGTCATATGAACATCCCTTCTAAGCATATTGACAAAAAAACAATTAAAAGAAAATGAAAGCCAATTATAGAAAATCATGATAAAATTCCTAAGACACTAAAGAGTCAGGAATGTATTTTTTCAGGGGAGAGAAGA